TACAGGCCAGCAAAACCGATTCTCTTTGCTGAGCAAATACAAGCCTCATCTTGGCACGTGGACAGTTCAGATGGGCCCAAGGGCCACGTGTGCAGAGCTTGTCATACGAAAGGCTTCCCACCGAACTGGAGCGCTCTTTTAAAACTAGCAAAGCGTGGCGCCCTGCGAATCGACCGCCGCATTCCTCTGGTGCTGCGCTAGAGGTGCAAACTCGCCAGTTCAGTTACTAATGTCTTCACTGAAGCCGAACTCTGACAGCAGCAATGCAAACACTTCACCATTTTCCTACTGGGATGGCCAGAGATTGCCTTGACTTGTCTAGACAGACAGGCAACGGGGCTTATCTACGCACCCACTGGCCCCAGAGTAACTGACTCTGTGTCCCAGACAGGCGCTGAAGTGATTACAGGTGTAAATGAAAGCAGTTTGGTTACGTTCCCCTTTGTGTACAGAGACGCCCTACTTCCTGGTGTTCCAATCAGATCAAGGAGGAATTGTTAAAATATACGTGCCTTCGGGCTACACCCATATTGCAGAACACTATGACCATTCGCCACAACAACTCATTCCCAACAGCCTCCTGTTTTCCCTGTTCTCAATGGCTCCTCTATCAGCAACCTTGGTAGATTATTCCACCAGTCAATTTTTTTTTAAAGTCAAGACCATCTCACCTAAACTATTTCTTCCTTAGCTTTGGGCCATGCATAGCAACTTGAACTGCCCTTTCCTGAGAGCCTTTGTTTGAATTGCTAGCACCAAAGGCAATTTCGCATTGTGATCTTGTACAGTGACACACAAGAGTTTAACAGCAAGCATTTGATTAATACAAAAATTGCACTGGGGAGAGTGAATAAACAGCATTTTCTTCTGGCTCAACGATCGTGCGGATTTTGGGCCGATCAAAACCCCCTGAAACTCAGGGACACCTCAGAGCTGAACAGTCTTCCACGAAGGAGGAACTTTTAAACAAATGAGGTTTGACATGACATAAAGGGTGAAGGCAAGAAAACAAATGAGGCAGAACCAAGCGTGGAGACTGTGTCGGCCTTTTTGCACACCCAGAAATTATATGCAGGGCTCAGAAAAAGCAAAGACATACAAGGGTAGAGTAGAGCTAATAGCATTATACAGAGTGGCTGCATCTAGACTGGCAAAACTTGCCAGCTGTCTACACTGGCCGCTTGAATTTCTGCAAGAACACTGACGATCTCATGTAAGATTGTCAGTGTTATGCTGTTCCCATTCGGGCAAAAGCCCTCTTGCGCAAATGATTTTGCGCAAGAGGGCCAGTGTAGACAACACGGTATTGTTTTGCGCAAAAAAGCCCTGATCAGGAAAATGGCGATCAGGGCTTTCTTGCGCAAAACCGCATCTAGATTGGCACGGACGCTTTTCCACAAAAAGTGCTTTTGCAGAAAAGCGTCCGTGCCAATCTAGACGCGCTTTTCCGCAAATGCTTTTAACGGAAAAACTTTTCCGTTAAAAGCATTTGCAGAAAATCATGCCAGTCTAGATGTAGCCGGTATGTTCAAAAGCCAAAAGAGTATCATTTCAAAGCAGGGAAGGTAGCCCAAGTGAGTCAAGAGCAGCTGCCTTTGGCAAATACAGTATGATCGCACCATAAAGATAACGATGAAGAAGACGTTAGAAGAACAAACACGGCGAAAGAGCAAAACCTCTCGTGGAGTGAAGGAGAAATGGTTCCTTCACACCCCGAAGGCTGGCGAGGAAATACCGGTTGTAAGCTATCTCTTTGCGGTTCGTGAGGCCAGAGCTGATGATCGCAAAGGAGAACACTCCAAACACTCAGTTCCAATACCGAGCCAGTACCTGGGGAAAGGTTTGCGAATGCTGACGTGCCTACGACCCAGCCACTGGAAAAGTGTGACTCCTCACGAGTCCCCTTGTGCCCCATCTGCCAACTTTAAATAGAATGCATCAAAAGGGAGGGGACTGAAACGCAGGACTAAATGGGATGGGGGCTGAAGGGGGATGGGGAAGGGAGCTACGGGAGGAAATAGGATGGGGGAGCAATAAAACAGCAGCAGTTTGCAAGGCCGCCGTTATAGTCACCTGCGCCTCTGTAGGTACCAGCAATTGCAGCTCCCATTGGCCATGGATCATCATTCCCAGGCTACATCTAGACTAGTGTTTCTCAACCTTTTTTATAAAGTATCCCCTTTAAAAAAAAAAAGAAAAGTACTCCCAGTACCTACAATTTTCAGACACACACATTTTTTTTCTGCCATTGCAACACATTTGTTTGAACAACTTAATCGTAGGTGGGCAGGCAATGACATTTTGGGGTGTAAAAAGCACAAAAATAATAAAGCACTGTAGAACTTAAAACAAAAATTCAGTTTTCTCCAAATTTCAGTTGTGTTGACGTACCCCCAGACGTCTCTCGAGTACCCCTAAGAGTATTCGTACCACTGGTCGAGAAACTCTGGTCTAGACTATGGGGTTTTTCCAGGAGGTATCCCAGAAAAACTCCACCGTGTCCAGAGAATGCGTCTGCTCTTCCATTTTTTTTGTGTGTTACTCCTTCCACAAGGAAGAAGGTCTCTTCTGAAAGAGGAGGCGTTTCCGAAATTTGGCCTAGTGTAGATGGGCCACATTTTGGAAAAGCCTCTTCTGAAAAAACTATCGGAAAAAGGTACGCAAATTGCAGAGCGCATTTTGCATACATTTTTCCGATAGATCAGTGTAGTCTAGACATAGCCCCAGTCAATGGGAGCTGCAGGAAGCAGCAGGGACCAGAACACTGTTTCTTCCTGCTCCCGTTGGCCGGGAACAGCATTTTGCAGCCAATGGGAGCTGCGATCATCCGTACCTGTGGATGCACAGGTACATAAAGCAGCAGCCTGCCAGGGGTTAACCCTGGTGGACCGGATCCAGCCCATTCCTGAAATAGGAGGTGGCAACCAACCTTAGCACATAGGGGAGTGGAGAGATGATGGGGCGAGGAAGAGTCTGGAGGGTGAACTGAAGCAGGTGGGCTCTCAGCAGAAGCCCCATCCGCAAGCCAGCCAGCCCTGCACCCTCAAAGCCCCAAGAACTGTGCAGAAACACACAGGGCTACACACCACTCCGGTGGGGGGACACGAGGCTGGGGCTGGCCTGCTGAAAGGTGTGAAGGGAGACCCAGGGAGTTATAGTTACAGGCCAGCACACTGAGACCAGAGCTGCGAGGGGGTGATAAAGCGCAGGCTGCACGGAGCACGATACGCTAGGAACAGACTAGCAAGGCGTCTGCGCGCAGAAATCACGTCTTGCTGACCTGCCTGCATTCCATTAAAGTAATAACAATCGCCTGCAAAGGGAAGAGTGGGGGGTGGGCCCCTTTTCTTGCTTCTCTAGGGTATGAAAATGTGTCGGGGCCGGGGAAGGTGTGTGTGTGTTTTTCTTTCTCCCCTGCAAGACTAAATGGATAACAGCAACACTAGTAGGCTCGCTCAGCTGACAGCCGATTAACTGAGAGAAGGGATTGCTAGTCAACCTGTTAACACAGCCCCCCCCGTAATTGACACACAGTTAACACCGCTGCTTGAATACACACAGTCAGAACAAAGCTCTCGCCCTAAAGATTTACAGTAGTGCTAAGCTCAAGGGTCCAAGAATCACCAGGTTCCTCCATAAACACAATAGCAAAAAAAGCATGCGATTTAAAAAAAACGAAAAAAACAATAATGCATTTGAGCTTCTTTTTCTTTGCTTTCTGGGATCTAAGCCTTCAGGGCACACTCAGGTTACCCCAGGCTAGAAATACACTGTGTTTGCCTCATGACAATTGTGTAACCGCTGGATCCTGCAAGCAGGGGCTGTAAGCGGCGCACGGTACAAATCAGGAGACCTGGCTCGACTGGATTTCACACCTCTGCCTCTCACACCTCGGCTCTGCGTGTCCAGAAAAGCCTCCCACAAAACAGGGCAGACTTTGTGGTGGGGATTTGGTTGCGATCAGAAGGAACAACAAACAAGCACAAACTTACTTTGGAGATCTACTCGGGGTGAAATCCGGCCCCACGGACGTCAGTGGCAAAACGCCCATGGGCTTCACGAGGGTCAGTTTCAACCCCAAACTTTGCAGCCTGGTTTCTGCACCATAAAGCAGCGAAGGAAGAGCACATCCCCTGGCCCAGCGCACTACATAGAGGAGAGGCAAAGGATGCAGACAGGCAAAGTCTCCACGGCCGGGGCCAGAGGAGGCCGATTGTGGATTCAATATTTGCTGGCGGATCAGACAAAAGGGTCGATTCTCAGGGAGGAAGGGGTTACCGGTGGGGTGCCACCACATGAAGAGATGTACAGCCTCACTGCACCCAGGGGATGGAGAAAGGTGGTGAAGAGGGTACCCTGAATCCTCACTTCTGTGCTCCCTGCAGGGCTAGGATGTGAGTTTGTCACCCATATTGGCACTAAGCTCCCTGATCTGTGCAGAGAGGAGACAGGACAGTCCCACCCAGGCTATGTCTATACTACAATGATCTATCGGAAAAAGGTTCCTTTGTCTGATTGTTTTTTCGCAAGAGGCTTTTCTGAAATCTTTTTCCAATCGTTTTTTCGCAAGAGGCTTTTTTGAAATTTGGCCTGTCTACACTGGGCCAAATTTCGGAAAATCCTCCTCTTTCAGAAAAGCCCTTCTTCCTTGTGAAACGAGGTTTACAAAGCTTCCAAAAGAGCGCGTCTCCGTGAAAGAGCAGACGCGTTCCCTGGACACGGCAGAGTTTTTCTGGGATACCGGAAAACCCCCACAGTGTAGACGTAGCCCCAGGGACTCTGAGGGCAGAAGGCAAAGTAGGTGTACCATAGCTGCGCAGACTGGAGCTCTGCTCCTGTCTGGCCTCTCCCCCACCATCCGGTGGCCCCCGTTGAGGGCTGCGCCTCTTGGACCTGCGCCCGCAGATTCTCCACTTGAGAGCCCCCAGGTTGAAGCCTTTGTCCTTGTGACAGACTCCCTACCCCTCAGCCTTAGCTGCTCAACACGGTTTTCCTCTTACCTGGGAAAAATTCAGCCCGTTCAAGGGGTGGCATTGCTCCTCCACTTTCTCCACAGCCCCGGTCTGCTTCCTGAGGCGCTCGGCCTCCTGGGCCAGGTAGAGATCCAGGACAGGGACGCCACGGGACTTAATGTCCACCTCGGTCAGGGAATTCACCATCAGCATGACCCACACGGGCCTCTTCCTCTCCCAGTTCCCGGCGATGGCGTTGAAGAGGTAGTCGGCGTAGAGCCCCTTCCCCCGCTGGTCCGGCGTCATCCACGACGGCATCATGAGCTTGACGTACTCCAAGTGGCGCTTGAGCCTGCGGTAGATGTCCCGGGGCAGCACGTCCTGGAGGTTCTCGCCCTGCGGCAGCAGCTGGCAGCTGGTGAGGGCGGAGATGGTGTAGGGGTCCGTGAGGTCCAGCTCGAAGTAAACGATGTGGCTGTGCTGGAAGGCCTTCTTGGAGTTCTCGGGGATGAAATCCCAGACCCGGGTGTACGGGACGTGGATGGTGCCGAAAAAGTAAGACGGGGGGTCTCTCTTGATGGTCCACAGGAAGGAGTTCAGCTCGCTTTGCTGGAGGGGAGAGAAACACAGCAGAGTAAACAAACCACGGCCTGCAGGCTGGAGCACGGGGAGCCAGCCACGCAGAGGGGGAGCGGCGAGAAAGACCCCTTGCCCCCAGCTAGTGACACGGGCTAGAACTAGCTCCATTGTTTCAATAGGCTCTCCCTCGTACTGGCATGTCTGCACCCCAAAGACAGCACACGCACACCATCGTAGGCCGGAAGGGTTACTCTTGGTGCCCACAGGAAGGCAGTGTTACCTACTGGCTAGAGCAGAGGGGGTGGGACTTGGCAGACCTGGGTTCTCTTCCTGGTTCTGCTGTGGGGAGCTGCCTCACCGTGCCTCGGTTTGCCTGTCTGTTAAATGGGGCTAATGAAAGTCACCTCTTTGGGACCTACTGATGATCAGAGCTAGGCCCAAAGGGGGACCACCAAGGCTTCGGGACTGTGGCTGTTTTGTCGGCTTGCGAGGCTCATGTGCCTGCCATCACCTTCCTGCTCCAACCTCTCCACCTGACCAAGCCCCACGGGCCCCCCCGCAGGCCAAAGGAAACATGCGCGGAGACAGAAAACTGCCACCCAGGAAACGGCCTTGACTCAGGCTGGGGAGAGGGACTCCCCTTAGCCACACGTCCAGAAGCCAGCGCGTAACATGGAAAGTCACTGGCAGGCCGGCACGCTGGCTGAGGAACGGACTGGAAACAGGTTGCACCGGGTGCCCATTCCGGACCCCGCAGCGTCACCCACCTCCGCACGGCGTTCAGAGAAAGAGCCAGTTGCTCTGAAGACAAGAGGGGAAGCTGGAATACTGTGTGAGAGCCACCCCGGCCCGCAGCACCGAGAAAATGGTTTTTGAAACAGAAAAAAACTTTTTTTCTTTAAAAAACAACCACCCACAGTTGTTTTCAAACACTCCCGACCATCCAGCAAAGTTACCCGAGCAGCAGCAAACCTCATGCCAGGTCTACACTCAACCCGGCAGCTCAGCTTTTGGTGCCCAATTCCAACTATGAAGAATATGTAGCTGGAGTCGACTTACCTTATGCCGAGCTTGGTGGGATCCCCACAGCGGGAGGCCAATGGGAGCAAACTCTCCCATCGGCTTCCTTTACTCCTCGCAAAAGGAGGAGTACCAGCCGCCGGTGGGGGCACCCTCTGAGTTTGATTTGGCAGGTCTTAACTAGACTCACTAAATCAAACTCCGGAAGATCGATCGCAGCAGCAGCGATCGTCCTTTTTAGTGTAGACAAGGCCTTACTGCAAGTTCTAAAGAAATCCTGCTCTGTGGTGTATTGGATTTCAATACCAGGTTCCCAGACTTCTCAGTGTTTATGTTAATAGGGAATAATGCAAAGCGTTCCCCTAGAACAGACCATAACATTTCCAAGAATCCCAGAGGGTAATGTTGGATCCAGCCTTTGTGTGGTCTATGTAAATCGACATGGAGACACATCTTCAACAGCTTCACTCACTGGACCGATGCCAAACACCCAGCTGATGAGCTGGCCTTAGAATCCTAGAAGTGGGAGGGACCTCGAGAGGGCATCAAGTCCAGTCCCCGGCCCTCACGGCAGGACCAAGCACTGTCTGATCGTCCCTGACAGATGTCTGTCCAACCTGCTCTTAAATATCTCCAGAGATGGGGATACCACAACCTCCCTGGGCAATTTATTCCAGTGTTTAACCACCCTGACAGGCAGGAATTTTTTCCTAATGTCCAACCTAACCCTCCCTTGCTGCAGTTTAAGCCCATTGCTTCTTGTCCTGTCCTCAGAGGCCAAGGAGAACAATTTCTCTCCTCCTGCTTGTGACACCCTGTTAGGTCCTTGAAAGCTGCAATCAGAGCACACAATGGATTTGGCCCTGCTGGAAGAAGCAATCTGCTTCTGATTGTCTGCGCATAAGCAGGGAAGCAGAAAACATCTGGAATCTCCGCCCCATCGCTGCCCCGCAAGAAGATCTGGCTATCAAATGTCTGGCTCCAAGAGGGGACATCCAGACACTCAGTTCAAACATCTGGCCAGTTTTCCGCCGAACACTGGCCCCGGCACTGTGATTAGATTGAAGTGTGCAGGTACGGTGAGGTTAGATGCCTTGCTCAATGCAGAGCAGGCTCCTTATTGGAAACACATGGCCTAGGCGCTGCCAGTGGAAGGCTAGGGCCAGAGGGGTTAATCAGAAAGACAACTCTGCAGCGGCTCGTCCCAGGGGGTGTTTCTCCGCCAGACCCAGACCCAGATCACAGCCCTGCTCAGCTGGAAATGCCAGCAAGGCCCCGGCCTGTCACCCAGAGGTGAAAAGTCTTGGAGGGGGCGCCATGTTAGTTTGTGATTTTGAAAACCATGAGCGGCCCTGTGGCAGCGGAGAGGCGAACCCCACTGTCTAATAGCTCTCGCGGGCAAACCCCAGGTGTGAAATCTTTAGCAATCGCTCGCCTGGAGTAAGTAAGGTGGCTGCCTCGGCCCTCCACAGTCTTAAACTTCCATTAAGGACAGAACCCTAGAATCCTAGGAGGGCGGGAAGAGACCTCAGGAGTCATCGAGTCCAGCCCCCTGCCCAAGGCAGGACCAACCCAACTCAGTTAGCCCATCCAGGGCTGCGTCAAGCCGGGGCTTAAACACCTCTAGGGAAGGAGACTCCACCCCTCCCTAGGGAACCCATCCCAGGGCTTCCCACCCGCCTAGGGAAATAGTTAACAAAGGTGATTTCTCAGTGTGCTCAGTGTTGAGTTAACCTCCCCGCTTGAAGCCTATGAGCCTTTTGACTGCTGACTGTGGAGGGAGGATGGGATTTTCCAAAGCTCACCCTGCTGGCCTAAATTTCAAGGGCCAGGTTGGTTGGTTGGTTTGTTTAATGGCTGCCGAAAATCTACTGGTTGGTGACCACTGGTTTAAAAGGCTGCCTATGTTTAGGCACGAAATACACAGACTCACTTCCCCGGCGCGCCCATGTGATTGTCAGGCTGAGGCGGTCCCTTCAGCAAAGCCAAGCAGGGGCGGATATAGGGCAGGGCGAGCGGGGCAGCCACCCCGGGCCCCGCGCTTCAAAAAGCCCCGCGCATGCGCCGTGGCAAAAGGGGGCCCCGCGAAATTACACTGCCCTGGGCCCCGCAAAACGGTCGTCTGCCCCTGAGGCCAAGCGCCTTTCATTCCCTGGCATTTTAATTTTACAGGTGACTACGCCAGAGGTCAGGCCCTAGGAAACGCGCAAGGGAGACGCGAATGGGGCAAATGGCCACCAGTGAGGAGCCGCCAGCGAACAAAAAGACGGGCAGGCAGGCATCAGCGTGGAGGGAGCCGAAAGGGCGCCCTTTGCTTTAAAGACGTCCGAGCTTGTGTGTGGCAGGCAGGGCCCAGGAACAGCCCCGGCTCCGAAGAATCTCAGGGGAAGAGCAGTGCCGACAAGCACCGGACCGGCGTTCAGCGGCTGGAGCACGGGGGGCCGTGCGGTTCAGATGGGGTCCTACGCACCCTCACGGGAAGAGCACTGGGCAGGAAGCTCGCATGCCCTCGGATACTGCCCATACGGGAGGCTCCAGGAAGTACTGTGTTGCGGTAGCACCTCCCAGCCAAAGGGGTCTGGGTCCCCGCCGGGCCAGGCTCTGCAGAGCCCGAGAGCGAATCACAGCCCCTGCCTCAAAGAGCGCACAGTGTGAGAGGCCAGCGGACTGCGTTGAGACGCACACAGCTATGGTGCTCCGCCAGGCTTAGACGAGCACACCGGGCCTCACGAGCACTTGGATGTTATTACAGACACTTCTGGGCACTAAACAGCTGCCACTGTTATTAATCAGGGCAGGCTGGGGCTACATCTACACAACGCGTCTGTTCATCTGCTTTTCTGGGACCAGTGACTAAAGCGCTAGCCTGAGATGGGGAAACCTGGGCTAAGGTCCCTGCTCTGCCACAGGCTTCCTATGCGGCCTCGGGCACCTCACTTAGCCCGCATCTGCTCAATGAGGATAACCGCCTTGCCCCGCCTCCCAGAGATGCTAGGAGAGTCAGTCCTTCACAGAATCCAAGGTGCTCAGATACTAGGGTGCTTATGTACCTGTGATGGCAACTGGTGGGGAAATGTTGAACTGCATTCTGCATTCTGCCCGGACCACAGCCAAGCCGAATGCCTTTGAAAACTCCGCGCTCCGATCCTAACGTGCCCTTGTGTAGCTCTTCCATCCTGGGGTATATTTTCCATGTCATTTAGAGATAAAAGCAAGCAAGCAGCTTCCCCCACCCTCCCTCCGGCCCCTTGTAAAAGGGGAACAGTTTGCCAGAGCGCAAAGTGGCTGCGAGATAACACAGGCACAGCGGTGACGCGGGCTCTCCCGTACGGCGCGATGCAACAATTGGCAGCCTCTCTCTCGCACCTCATTTCAAGAACACTGAGGAGATAAAGTCACTGGGTCTGGATCCCCTGCACCAGCATCCTACGCTGCTCCCACCACAGAAAAGGGCCTGAAAGCCCTTTTTGCACTAGGCATGTGGAGGCTGAACCAGTTAAGCAATAGTTTAACCAGTCAACAAGTCGCGGGATTTTACATCTCTGTTTTGCATGGCCAGAGAGATGCAAAGGGGGCGCACAAAACTCAGCTCATTTCAACGGACTGATTCCTGATTTCCACCAGCATAAGAGAAAAATCAGACTCGCGGGACCAGGGAGAGAACACGCCGCCCTCACTTTCAGGCACTCGTCACTATTATTTCTCTTGTGACCATGCCTGGCGGCCAGGAGGAGAGAGGAAGGATGGTTCATGGTCAGGACACTATTGAGCTAGGAAGACCGAGGTTAAATGCCCGGCTTCACTGAGGCCTGCCTCAGTTCCCATCAGTAAAATGGGTGCAATAACACAACCCTGCCACACAGGGTAGTTGAGGGGGTGATACTTTGAAGACTGTGAGGTGTGTAGATACTACAGTGGTGGCAGCCAGATAAAGACTTTAGCTAGATAAGGAATTCTACTGTCATAGGCACTGCACACACATATCAGAGGAGACAGGTCCCTACCTCAAAGAGCTTAAAAAGACAGAAAAGAGCTGGAAGGAACTGGGGAGGCAAAGTGACTTGCCCAAGACTAAATGACAGTCACTAGCACAGCTAGGAACAGACTGCTGGGCCCTAACCACTAGGCCAAACTGCCACACCATGTTCTTCTCCTTAGCCTCTGAGGATAGAACAAGAAGCAACAGGCTTAAACTGCAGCAAAGGAGGTTTAGGTTGGACATCAGAAAAAACTTCCTGGCTGTCAGGATGGTTGAACATTGGAATAAATTGCCTAGGGAGGTTGTGGAATCTCCATCACTGGAGATATTCAAGAGCAGGTTAGACAGACACCTGTCAGGGATGGTCTAGATGGTGCTTGGTCCTGCCGTGAGGGCAGGGGACTGGGCTCGATGACCTCTCGAGGTTCCTTCCCGTCTAGTATTCTATGATTCTACAGTTAGCTTATCCAGTTACAATTGGGTGTGTACCTTGACTTCCTTTTGTTTGTTTTTAGCAGAGCAGAGGTGCCATGTGTTCTTGTTAAGGGGTGGTTCTCGCAGCATTTTCATTGATTTATTCTTACGACCCCATCAAATAGACCAGTTTCCAGATTGAAGCTATTTTTGCTGCACTTGCCAACTTGCTTTTCCAAGAGGACCTAAGCAGCATTTACAGCACTGCAACAGGACTTAACATTCAGACCCCAAATCGACATCTCCTACTTCAATGTCAGTTGACATAAATCGTTTCATGTGCTGACAAAGATCGGTCGGTAGATCCAGGCTAAAACCTGCCAAACTGGAAGGTTTATATGACAGCCGCACAAAGTATTTTATTGTAACACATCCGTCAGGGATACGGTAATTTTCCTCCCCAACAGTTATTTCAAAACCGTTGAAATAACTTGGCGTGGGGGCAACTCTACAAAGATACAGGAAATAAATAATGCAATTAAGCAGCGGGAAGAAACAAAGATCTCCAGGGGAATTACACTGGGCACCTAGGTACGAGAAAGTTAGCGACAAATGAGAGAGAATCTAGAAAATCAAGCAAGGGACTTTTCGCAGGCTGTGCGGCGCAGTTGTCAGGGCGACAGGCAGAACTGAACCTGGGACCTCTGGAGCTGAGTGAATGAGCCAGGTGTGCAATAATTATTGAAGGGGGGGCACTTCACAAATTTTGGAAGTGGTCGTGGGCCGCCCCGGAAGAGGCGGGGCCTTAGGTGGAAGGGGAGGGGCCAGAAGACTTTCCGTGTTCTCCCGCTCACAGACCTTGATTGACCTGTGGGTGGGAGAGTACATGAAGTCTTTGCCACCTGCCTGGGCCCCTCCAGGGGCGCACAGCGCTTAGAAGGGTGGGAGAGTACGTGAAGTCTTTGCCGCCTGCCTCTGCCCCTCCAGGGGCGCACAGCGCTTAGAGAGAACTGCCAGCTGTTTTGAACAGCTGGCGGTTCCCTCTGGTGCCGCTTGCCCCGCCGAAGGGAGGAGACTTCGCTCCCCCACCCCAAATTCTCGCCTGGCCTGAGGGAGCAGCTGGGCCATTGTGGGCCAGATCTATCCCTCGGACACTGTCCCGCGCTACAGTTTGAGCTAAAAGCCAGGCTGGCTCTCAGCTTGGGCTGTGGAGGAGACTCCTTCTTCTCTCTGCTCCTGCCCCCACCAGTTAACCGGAACCAGTAAGGCTTACAGGTCAAACATTCACATCCCTGATCTAGTCCACTAGCCAATCTGTTGCACCACGCAGCCTCTGAATGTATTACCATATTTTTTCCTCTCTCTTTTTTTAGAAGTACATCCCTCAGGCAGCCCCAAACTCCTTACTCTTGAATGTATTACTATATTTTTTCCTCTCTTTTTTTAGGAGTACATCCCTCAGGCAGCCCCAAACTCCTTACTCTGTCTGTGGTTTTGCACTCCTCCTAGCTCCTTTGTCAGCTGCTTATCTCTCTCTGTGCCCCGCCTTGCCGCATTCCACTTTGTAGTTATTCAAAGCAGAGACTGTGACCCCATCCTCCAAGGTATTTAGGTGCCTAACTACTTCTGTGTCTTTACACAGTGAGTGAAGAGCCCTGTGCGTCTGCACATGTTAAATGTGTAAGTAGCATTCTCTTCATGCTCCCCTTTACATTACTGACAAATCCTGACTCCCCTAAATAATGGAGTTTGCCCAGGGAAAAGCACTGCAATGCATTCAACAATTCAAAGAATCCAAATTCAGTACCTTTTCCACCCGAGATGAAAAATAAAAATCAGTTTTCCATGAAAAGCCAGAAGTTAGAGCAGACGGGTGAGATAATGCAGAGGGGCAAACGATGTATGCTCTTGGAAAAGTTAGCCATTTAGATTAATTGCTCCATTTATCATGAACAATGCTCCATACACGAGTAAACAGTTACAACTGCTAATCCCTGGGCGCCGGCATTAAACACAGAGATGTGCATCAACATTTAGCAAAATACACGACCAGATCAAAAGAGTTAGTTCGTGAATGGGGGAAATCCAAAAGGTCCACAGGAGACGCACTTGCAAATTAATTCTTTTCAAAAGCTTTCTTCCTCCCGCCCTCCAGGAAAACATAGAATGTTTTCTCCTGTGCCAAAAATTCAGGATTTGGGGAGAATTATTGACTGCAGTTTTAGCTGTAACAGGGCACTTTGACAAGAAAGCTCTCTGAAGAATGATTTGTTTGCCAACTTCTTAAAAGAAACAGCAAAGAAAGACTTCTCTCTTTCCGACTCTGAATACACACACTCAGGATGGAAGGCTGGGGAGTCACGGAGGAGTACGGGTGTAAAAGCAATTTTTTGGGGGGGGTCAGAAAACACACATCCCTAGATTTGAGGAACCCATAATTAAAAGAGCATTAACCCCTGCAGATGCAATGGGGAATGTTTAAAAACAGACAGAAGTGTGGAATTTAAGAGCTTGTTTCCTTTATACACAACACCCCCATGAAAGTAGCTGGATACTCCTATTTATAGGACCTGAAAATAAAATCTATCACTGAATAGTGTCATTTCTCCCACTGTCCTAATGACCTGAGGAAGCAGACTGCCAATATGGAAAACTGCAGGCGGTCTCACATTTTAAGGACATAGTAATCAGGAGATAATGAGCCATCATTAACACATTTCACCTCTGGGTTTTCTGACAAAGGGTAAAAGTCTTTTGGCATCAGACATGGTTGTGGTTGCAGTTTTCCACCAATACGATTTTTTTCTGCTAACCTTTGCAGTCTCCCCCAAAACTTTTTTGTTTTGTTTTTTCAAGCCCTTGCCCCACATTCACATAAGCCCACAGCTTCACAGGCCCCTGGCTCTGAAGGGAGCCCGCCCGGCCCAGTCTGTCCCCTACTTGCCAGACATGGCCCATTTTTATGACAGCGCCACCCCCGGTGACTCTGAAATCTGCTTTACATCCTGGCTCCAGTAATAAACTGACCGACTGGCTGGCAACCTGCCTCCCACCTGGCAGAGGTAGAGAGCTGTCTGTGCTAGGCCTGCCCTGGCATCTCTGATAAGCTGCTTCTAGTGTGACACAAAAGTTGAGTTTGTGGTGCTCCAAAGCCCCAATTCCTGACTGATTCCATCTAGGAAGGCCCAGACTCCACTGCTGTGTCTGGACAGGTCATTCAAGAGGCAGCAAGACCCAAGAAGAGACAGGCGGATGGCAGGTTGGCCTTTCTGCAGGGGAAACGGACAGCCAAGTGCATAGGAGAGAAGATCACAAGGCGACAGAGCAATAAAAAGGGTTCCCTGGCCTTCTCACACAGCTCCCTGAAGATAAGGTTTTCCAACCTGACCAGCGTTCCCTATAGGCTGAGCACTTGGGCAGCCCAACAGGAGAGATTCAGGTGAAGTGCCCACAATTGTCCACCGCTAGCAGCATGTGTTTCTATGGGTGGTGCACATCTGCACTTGCCTTGTGCATGTAATAAAATTTATTCTGCACATGCGTAAAAAAATAGTGGGAACATTGAACTTGACCCCTGCGGCCAGGGTGTGCTGTGTGTGGAGATGAGACCATTATGGATTTGTCATCTCCCTAAGCATAGGAGCTCTGTTCTTCCGTGGATCCTGAAGGTCTGCTCTGCGCTTGACATTGTGAACACGGCTGGAGGTGTAATCATGTTAGCTAACCCCGGGTGAAACACGAGGAGTGAGCAAACCATGATGACTATCTTCCTTGGCCCATGAGAACAGGCCGGGTTGCCTCTGAGCCATGTGCTACATCCAACTTCTTAATTAACTAGAAGAAAGGATGGCTAAGGTTTCCAAAAGTGACACGTGATTTTTGGTGCCTTGATTTTTGGACACCCAACTTGAAATATCTTAGATGCATCTGCTTTCTGGAGGGTGGGCACTCAGCATCTTCTGAAAAATCAGGTTCCTTGGAGAGGTTTCAAATTGGGCACCGAAAAGTGGAGGCTTCCAAAAATCACTAGTCACTCCTGAAAATCTTGGCCTTTTGTTCATCATGTTTTTGTCCTCAGCCATGTGTGCTGCTTACTCACGTTCAGCACGGGTCAAGCCAATACCACCGTGAACAGTCTGTTCCAAAAGTCAAATTCAATCATGTAGAGACAGCCTCCAACCTGGCAGCCGTTGAAAACCTTTATGCCGCTAGCATGTTAAGTGGTCTTGGTTTGTTGGACTGAGCTGGGCTGTCCAAGTCTATCCTCATAAAAAATGTACAAAGGGACAGAAACACAAGCAGGTAGCGATTCTAGCAAACAGCATGCCAAAACAACTGACTGCCATAGCAGAAACAGCG